GAGATTTTAGTCAAAATCCGGTATTGATCAGTTTTTTCCTTTTAAAAACAAATGATTTAAAAAAAAATAACCAACAAAAAAGTTGAAACTGACTAAATTTCTGACAATTTGAAAAAAAACAATCTAATAGTTTCCGAGATACAGTCTCTCCTCCGTGAGTCTCTCAAAGTTGACCCTTTTGAGATTTTACATTGAATCTCATTTTAATACCATTGTATGTAAAATCTCAAAAGGGTCAACTTTGAGAGACTGTATCTCGGAAACTATTAGAGCTATTACATTGTTACACCACATATTAATGTTAATAAAAAATGAAATATTTTACAAATAAATAAAGTTATTGCAATTTTGAGGCTACCAATTAAAAGCTGACGTAATTGCGCATCCAACGAGCCCTATACGAACTATTTTTAATTAGAGGATTTTTTAAAAACAATTGCAATGTTAGCCAATTGTTTATTAACAATTCACTAATCCAAAGTATTTAATATAAGGTTAGATGAATGCAGAATTATGTCAACTTTCATTTATTGTCGTCAGAATTACGATAACTTTCTTTGTTTATAAAAATATATCATTTTTTATTTACATTAATTAATTAATAAATATCTCGAAGGCAACGTAAAAGGACATTTCCATTCTTTTTGTGTTGAAAGTATAAGTTTTAAAATTTGTAAAAAAAATTTGAAAAATAAAAAAAAGAGCAATTTTAAAAAAAAGGCAAAAAATTTTTTAATTTTTAAAAAATAAGGTAAAATTTTAAATTTTTTTCACCAATCGAAAGAACACAAAAAAACTTTGGAAAACATTTATGGCAAAATTTTTTTCATCTACTTAAATATAATATGTACAATTTTTAGTTAATTAATTAACTATTAAGGTTAATAAAAAATGATATATTTTATAACCAAATAAAGGTTTCGTAATTCTGTCGTTACGAAATGAAAGTTGACATAATTCAGTATCCAACGAGCCCTATATGAAGTACTTTGGATTAGTGGATTGTTAACAAACAATTGGCTAACATTGCAATTGTTTATAAAAAATCCTCTAATCAAAAATCAAAAATAAGGCTCTTTGTATTTATTTGTAAAATATTTAATTTTTTATGTACATTAGGAATTATTTAATTAATTAATATCTCGAAAATAACAAGAAAGAACATCTCAATATTTTTTGTGGTGTAAGTATACATTTGTAACTTTCAAAAAAAAAATAAATAAAAAAAAATTAGTCAAATGCGAGTTACAGTCGCTTACCTGGGGTTCCGTTCACGATTATTTAAATATTTATAAATATTTTTAAAAAATTATTTTCCAATATATCCATTTTTAGTTTCAACGAAAAAATTTCAACAAGGGCCTGTACTTTTTGTTAATCCACGATGGCGGACTTGTACGTCTACCCAAAGCAGTAGTGAAGCAAAAAAATATTCTATTTCTTGCTAAATAAATGTGAAATTGATAACAAAAAAATCATTAGTATGGCAGAAAACAATCTTCTTGATGAGTGTTCTATATAGTCTTAAATGATATTTAAAAAAATTCAAAAATATCAAAATGGCGGATCCAATATGGCACTGAACGTGAAAACGATAAACATTGAATTCAGAAAACTTTTTTCTCGAAACGTAGACACTTTTTTCAAAATCAGACAAAATAGCAAGGATCCTTATTTTATAAATTTCTTTAATCCGAAAGATTGTGTAAATCTATATAAAAACGCGATTGTAAAATGAAAAGTAGGAAAGTAATATAATGACAGCTGCGACATTGTGCTCCCTGCATGCTTCTGCCACCTAACGACTGCAGGATGTAATAAAGCTAAAATTATACATTTTACAATTGTTACTCAGGGGTTTTTGGGGTCGCTGATCACGAATCCAATGTTAGTTTGCAAAAATTCAAAATGGCGGATCCAATAGGGCCGACAAAAATTGAAAAAACATTTAGATTCCCCTGAAACTTGTTACTCGGGGGTTTTTTTGGGGTCGCTGATTACAAATGCGGTGTTAGTTTTTAAAAATACAAAATGGAGGATCCAATATTCACAACAAATATTTCAAAACTAATTGGTTTTCCTGTTAACATAGTCATCCAAGTTTTTTCAAATCGCTGTTTATAATTCCTTAGTTTTTTTAAATTAAAAAAACTAGATCCAAAATATTTGTTTACCAGATGTTTTGGAGGTTGCTAATTAAAAAATTTGATCTTGTGAAAATTGTATAATTTTTAATCATTGAATAGTAAACAATTTAATATTAAGATTAAGTCAGTTTTTCTTATCTGCAACTAATAGTCAACATTGTATATATAAGGGTATATAAGGGTAGTGTGTTAGACCGTTACATACATGAACAGAGTAAACCTCCATCGCTTGTAAACAGAAATTATATTTTTATCATTTTTAGGGAAAACTAAACAACTTATTAATTTGTTGTCCAACATATTGAATTTTACAAAACTAACACCGAATTTTTAATCAGCGACCCCAAAAACCCTAGAGTAACAAGTTTCAGGAGAATCTAAACGATTTTTTAATTTTTTTGTCCGCCATATTGGATCCGCTATTTTGGATTTTTAAAAAGTAACACCGGATTCGTAATCAGCGACCCCAAAAACCCCCGAGTAACAAGTTTCTGACGAATCTAAACGATTTTTAATTATTTTGTCCACCATATTGTATCAGACATTTTGAATTTTTGAAAACTAACACCGAATTCGTAATCAGCGCCTCCAAAAACTATAAGAACCACTTTAGATTTCTTTTTTTAATTTGTCAGTTTGGCTGGGTTAGCTAAAAAATTGTTAAAGTTAAGAGAAAAAGGAATTTTGTGTTTTTGTTGCAAAGCAATAGTTAAATCAATATCAAAAGGATAAGCTATATTTTTCATGAAATCTACACCTGAAATTAGATATGTTTATGAAGTTTCAGCTTTTTAACTCAAAAACTGTAAAAGTCAAGAGGGACTCACACGCTTTTTTCAGAAATTTCGAGTTTTTGTAATATAACTATAATCAATTTCATTCCAATCGGGTTTGCTATAATTTTTCTTTAATCTACACTGAAAAAATTAAAGGAAGACTGCAGTCTTTGTCGAGAGAGTTGTTGTCTTTTACGCAAGAGGGCAGCTTACTCCGTCAGAAAAAGAGCTGCTACCCTTAAAAAAGCGAAATGCTACTCCTTTAAGCGAGCAACCACTGTAATTTGTCTGATTTTGACAAGTGCCCCTAGAAAAAGGACAACAGCTACTCGCCAAAGAGCAGCAGCTCGCCCTTATTAGAGCAGAAGTTAACCCTCGGCAGAGAACATTGCTCTCTTTCATGAAGACAGCAACATTCTTTAAATTTTTTCAGTGTACTCGCGAAAATACGTATATATACTAAGTTTGAGCCCAATCTGTTAAAATGGCTTGATTTTAGAGGTTAAAGTACTCACACCTAGGGCTAAAATATGTGCAAGTTACAGACCGATCCAATCATTTTTTTCACTTAGTACGCTACAGGAATTTTACACCACATATATATATATATATATATATTTATTATAACGTTCTTTTTATTTTCCTTGATTATTTTAAGTAATTATCATTTAATATTCAACTAATTAACCTAATTTTAATAATTATTTTTACTGATTTGACAATAATGTTAATTCACCCATGATAAAAAGGATTAATTAAACAAAACGTTTTCTACACTGTGAGGTTATTTTTTATTTATTATGCTTTCTTTTACTTGAAGAGAATAATTTATTTTTAGCGCTAGAATATTTTACGTGAAAATATACAAAAGTTAGTTCAATTAAATTTTTAATAATTGTCAGACTAGTTCAGAAAAATGTTAGGAAAAACTTTCTAACAAACCACAGAGAAGGGTATAAGGAGAAACACCATTAATTAGACAGGATTTAAGAATAACACTATTTATTTATTATTCACATCAATTTAAAGAAATTTAAGTTTATGAAAGTGGCAGAAGGCCAAATAACAAGACTTCAGATCTGCTTAGTAACTTTTGTTTGATTTTAATTTAAATAATTTATATAATATATAAAGTCCTGATTGAATTTTTAAGTCCAATAACAAAAAACAGTGAATTTACCATTTTTTTAATTCCAACAATTTTCCTATAAATCCGAAACATAAGTTAGATATACTAAAGCCTTAAAAAAATTTAATGAAAACTTTTAAACACCCTTGGCTTTAGAGGGTTAAGATAATTAACAGTTATTTCATTAAAGATTTATAAGATGTATTTACAATATTATTTACAGAATCCTTTCATGAAATTTCTAATTTGGACCAAGATTTTAACTTTTAATGTCAAATTTTAGATAACTCATTTACTCTTCTCTATTTTATTGTTATAATTATTATTTCCTTTTATTTAAGTAAATCATGATTATTTATTATTTTATTTTTTGCAGAATCCTCTCTGGAGTTAACTCATAGACCCTTCTGACAGATCGACAATCTCATTCCACTTAACCCTTCGTCTGTAAACATTTTTTGGCACCTTCCATCTGTAAACGTGGGTTATTAACGTCCCACTGTGTTTTTAATTTGTTAATGTACTTAAAAAAATTCAAAAAAATTTATGGTACTTTTTACAACCCTTAAATTCTTATATTAATCATAAAAATGCTAAAAAATGTATTGTTGCATTTATTTCTTATAAACAAATAGAGAAAATCAGTAAAAAACAGCGATTTATTTAAAAAATCATAACTTTTTAAAAAATAAGATATCTGAACGTTCTAAACGTGAAATTAAAGGTTAATTATGTGGCTTTAAGAAAAAAACTATTTGATTTTATTTATTTAATAATAAATGCTTAAGTTTGGATAGGTAAAACAGTCCATAAATCATTTATTATGCATTGGTAATCTAATCTAATCTAAAATAAGCTTATACCGAAGTCCCCTAGTACGAGTGTTGGTCCTTAAGTCGCAAGACCCATTGCACCTAACCCCGGTAAGCTTGAACCTAGTCTCCCTTTTTAGAGTACTGTCTTATTCCAAAAGTCCAGTAACTCTTGTACCGAGAGGTCGCGAATCCTATCTGGGTCTACAAAGGCATGGCCCCAGCATTGATGTCTCGCTGCAGCGTAAGCTGGACAGTGACATAAAATATGAGTAGAAAATTCCTCTTCCGCGTTACACAATCCGCATCTAGGTGAAACGTTTCTACCTATTTTGTGCTGATGGTAATTCAGTAGTCCATGTCCCGTGAGCAGCCTGACCACTTCTCTAACTCTGATCTTGTTGAGTTTTAGAAAGGACTCTGCAAAGCCCCTGTTGAGTTTTAATCCCAACAGAGCCTTGGCCTGTCTACCTACAGTAGTCTCCGCCCACTCTCTCTCGTGACATCTCCTAGACCATCTTCTAATGGCTTCTTTCACCGCACCTGGCATAATCTCAGACCCTCTACGGGCTAAGGTATCTGCTTCTTCATTCCCTCTGATTCCCGAGTGTTCTGGTACCCAGATTAATGAGAGCTTATTTTTCAAACCTAGCTCGTCCAATACCTTCCGACATTCCCAAACTAGTTTTGACTCTACAGTCGGATTACTCAAGGCGTTTAAAGCCGCCTGACTATCGACACAGATATTAATCCTCTTGCCAGACTTTCCTTTTTCAAGGTAAATCATTGCGCAAGTCATTACAGCACAGACTTCTGCCTGCCAAACCGTGGTGTAATTCCCTAAAGATAATGTCACTTTAGTTGCATTAGACTTACAGTATACACCCAAACCAGTGCCTCTTTCCATCTTGGATCCATCCGTAAACCAAAGTTCCCCTCCAAGTGGACAGCCCTTTTCCCAATCTTTTCTCAAAGGTATAATGGTCTTAAAGCAAGGTTTGATTTCACTCTTTTGACCATTCTATCCTGTTCCATACTGATTTCTGGGATATTCAGTATAGAGGCCGGGAATTTTGTATGTTTTCCCCTAGCTCTCCATTTCCCCTGTGCTTGAAGTCTGATCATTGTGAGAACAGCCTTCTTAACCGTTAAAGTGTGTAGGGGTTCCTCCGCCAATAAGAAACCTAACGCAGAAGTTAGCGTGGTTCTCATAGCTCCAGTAATTCCTCTAAACACCATTGCTTGCAATTGTTCAAGTTTCAATTTCACCGTTTCCAACTGGCTTCTAATCCACCAAACAACTGATGCATGCAGAAACCTTGGCAACATGACCATTCGATAGAGCCACTGAACCATATCCGGTTTTAGACCCCAAGCTGATCCAATAGTCCTTCTGAAAACCCAAAATTTAGTGTAAAATCTACTATATTCATACTCTAAGTGCTTTCTCCAGATCAGCTTCTTATCCAGAATCACTCCTAGATATTTAACCGAATCAAAAAAAGACACTTCTTTTCCATAAAATACAGGTTTTCTCACAATGGGAACCTTGTATTTCACCTTACCTCTAAGACTTTCCAACTCAGCAGTCCACCAAGTAGTTTTCCTGCTAGTTTCAAGTCTTTTTGGGTTACAGTTTCTCTCAAAAGCGGAAATAATAGAATCCTGCAGAAAATTTGCTGCAATTTCCAACTCCTCTTCTGTACCATAACTGGTAGGAAAGCATTCCATGGAGTCCCTAAGGTCTTCACAATATGAAGACCAATTGGTACTTCTAGGATTACGACCCCACCTAAATTCACGAGCAGCTGACTCAATTCTGAACGTTGTAAGTCTGTGGTCTGAAAGTGAGTCTTCATCTGACACTTTCCAATCCTGCACTTCCTCCCACAATGACGTCGAACACTTAGTAATATCCAAAACCTCCCTCCTGTTTTTAGAAACAAAGGTAGGCACGTTTCCCTGATTAAGGAAATCTAGGTCTGAATCAACTAGAAAGTCTAGAAGTTTCACACCCCTATCATTGATGTTTGTACTACCCCAAATAACATGGTGTGCGTTGGCATCACAACCCAGAATCAGAAAAAGTCCCTCTTGATGACAGTACTCCACCAGTCTTAACACCTCTTCTGGTGGTGAAGGTTCATTTTATGATCCCCGAAAGTAACCAGAGGCAATGCAACAATCACCTATTTGTTACTTTCATTTTTATCTCTATACATGACTTTTATAACTGCCAGATCTCAACTAGTTAACTCTAAAAGAGGAAACGCATTTACTCCCTTATAGGCGATACACGCCCTGGGTGCCAATTTCTGTGGTGAACTCACTACCTTCCCACAGTTTCTCAAACCTCTTATCTTACCCTTGTGAACCCAAGGTTCTTGAATAAAGACAACAGCTGTATGCATCGCTGTCAAGCTCTTGGCTAGAATTGCCGTTGCGCTTTTACAGTGATGCAAGTTAATCTGCGAACATTGGATTCCGGGGCCCGTCAAGTTTAGGACTGACCCTCGGAATCCTCCGTCGCTTTCCTACTCGTGCCTTGTCCACTACTCACCGTTTCCGCTCTGTGCTTACTCACCCTAAGAGTGATCTGCCCAAGACCGAGACACAGTTTGTAGAGAAGAGAATCGAGCACACCCAGGTGAGTCTCTGGCACACCCACCGCGAGAGTCCAGCCTGCAGCCGTAGAGACTACGCCTGAGTCTGTTGTCTCGCCACCCGAATACAACCTCCAATTAGTTGTATCCACCCCAGGATTCTGTCTTCTGAGGTTAGTCAGGACTGCAGCCTGGTCCACCCTTGGACACGGTACCCAAGCTGTCGCTCTGACCCTCTTAATGAGGGTGGAAGGATCTATCACTTTAAGTGACACACCCTCTATTGCCTGACTGATTTCCGGTACGTGGGCATTTAACCACTCCCGAAAGTCAAAGTCCAGACACTTGATTATGATCGCCCCTCCTACGAGGCGAACTTCACCAAAACGAGGTGCAGCCTCAGCCGTGGGCCTCGTGATTTCATTAAAGATGAATACCCTAAATAGGCCCAGCTGATCAAGAGTCAGCCCAACCTCTACAATAATCGCTCCCGAAAGAGACGATCTTGCTACTTGAGAGAAAGAGGCGGTTCCTACCAGGAGTCCCTGCCTCCTTCTCTTCTCCTGCTGTGGAGAAGTGTCTGAGTCTTGTCGACGCAGACGCTTTTTCGTATCCTGACCGACAGACACGGCTTTGCTTTTATCAGGCATAGAAGTCGAGGAAGAATCAGGTTGAGACCCTTGCCGATTCTGCTCCCTTAGACTCTTCAGCCTTCTTCTTGCGCTGCCACTGAGCTTTTTACCCGTAACGGATAAGCTCGCCATTAGGTCTTCAACCACATGAACAGTGGAACCATGGGACGGTCCCGAACTGCCCTGCGTCAGAGCCTCAGAACTTAATGGTTCCCTTACAGGTTCCATTTCGTTGTGAGGCGAAATTGCCAAGGTTGAAGGTGCCGTTAAAGGTGCCCTTTCTTACTGCGCCAAAATCTCCGGCCCTGAAACCCGACTGTCCGAAGAGTGTTCGGTATTCTCGGGAGAAACACTTTTATTTTAATGTCTGTAGTATTCATATAGATCCCACGAGTACAAGGGACCAGAAGATCCATCCTCACAGAGCCCCTTATGCAAGGATAAGACTAAATACTACTGAGATTTCGTCTGGTGTCTCAGAGTCTCCGTTTGCGATACCTTCATCACAACATCGAAGAACGCCAGATCGACCCAGCCCGGCACCGTCCCCACCCGAACTTTACGAGTGCTAAACATGTGCAAGACTGAAAGCCAACCCTCGCCCGCACCAACCCTCCGCAGGAGCGAGATGAATTTGATAACCCTGGTACCATTCATCCATCGACACGGCGAAAACATCTTAGATTTGGGGGGCTAGAAGACTCGCGCCTCCTTACTCCAGATTCCTCGACCTTTAAGAAAATGGAGGGGCCGTTTCTCGGTTGAATCTACCCGAGCACCTAACTTCTCCGCTTCCGGTGGTGATCATTTCTGCCCGCCAAGGGTCGCAACCTCATCATTCAATTTCTCCTAACTTCCAAACGGTCTCTCCCTCACGAGAACAGGACCCCACAGAATAGCGAGGAAATGAATGGGGTCCGGAGAAGGTGCTCAAATAAATTCGTATGCCTCCTTCACAGGTCCACAAAATAAATTCGATGAAAGAATACTTTGATCAAACCAGCAGTGGGATTACTAATAGCGCTAGTCGCTAATCATGGCCAAAATAAAATACCGTTGACAATTTCTTCAAAGCTTAAACTGCAAGATGGTAATTTAGAAGAAACTATAAACATAACCCCTCTAAATAAGGACATTGACATAGAATGCGTGTCAATTTCCTAAAATATTTTATCTACGATCAAACAAATACAACATGAAGGTGGAATCAATTCTCTAACTTCATGTTTGCCAACTGTTAGTTTCAAATAAAATAATTAACTAGTGACGAAATAAATTATACTTTAATATTGCCTAAATTTAAAAATTGATAAATTTTTTAAATTAAATTAATTATTTTTTTATTTTTTAATTAAATTAATTTAAATTTTCATTTTTTGAAAAAAAATCTTTAACTCACAAAAAATGCCCTATATGTACATTTTTTTAGTGAACCCTTGCGTGAGAACAAAAATTCTATTTCTGAGGTTATATTTTCAAAATTTTTTTAATTAAATTTTTTTTCCATTTTAGACAATGTCCAATAGAAACTTTTAATCCTATGAAAAAAATAATAAATATAAATGCAATAAATATTTAATTATTAATGGATAAAGTTGAATTATTTTCTTGATTTTTTGTAAGGATAGAAATTGGAAATAAAAGTGTTAATATAATAATATTAATAATTATCATTGCCTCGAATTGCCTTTTTATAACTTTTGAGATTTGAAGTGTTACACTTGAAAAATTTGTCAGCCTTTTAGATATTTCTTTTAATTGCTTCATTTCTTCATCGTGGGAAATCCTTATGAATTTGATACATTTTTTTAAGTCACCCGATAGCTAGAAAATTTTTTAATGTGAATGTAGCTTTGAATCGCTACGTAGCGAAATCTTCGTAGCGCTGTCGCTATTTGTAATCCCACTCCTGGTGTATTATATGTTTTTGGGATCGCTGATCACGAATCTGAAGTCCGTTTTGCTCCAACACGTCAGGATTTTTTCCTAACCTCAAAAAACATGTTGGATTTTACGTTGCAGACAACATTATGTAAATATTGACGGATTTACCTCAATCATGGTATCTAGGGGTTTTTGGGGTCGCTGATTACGAATTTAAAGGCAGATTTTCGAAATACAAAATGTCGGATCCAATATGGAGGCCGGATTTTAAAAAAATTGCATTTTTACAAAACTTGGTATATAGGGGTTTTTTAGGTCGCTGATTACGATTTTGAAGTCTGATTTTCAAAATCAATTGATATAACATGAGTTCCAGATATGCTTTACTTTACAATTACCTACATTCAGCCGTACCCACGAACAACGACGTGGACGTAGCAGGCTTCTGTTCCCTTCGGAATGCTTGTTTATGGTAAGTCCCCTTGCCTCTCACTATTCTTAAAAGGAGATTGACTGGGGTCATAAGTGGAGAATTAGTTAATAAAAATGTCCGAATTTTTTAAGCCTGCTACATCCACGTCGTTGTTCCTGGGTAATTCTGAATGTAGGTAATTGCAAACTAAAGCACATCTTGAACTCATATTATATCTATTGATTTTGAAAATCAGATTTCAAAATCGTAATCAGCGACCTAAAAAACCCCTAGATGCTAAGTTTTGTAAAAATGAAATTTTTTTAAAATCCGGCCGCCATATTGGATCCGCCATTTTGTATTTCGAAAATCTGCC